CAAGCAGATAACAGAATACAAAACAAAAACTCTTTCAATGCAATGCACTTCTCCAAGTGTCTCCTTGAATCAGGGTTACAGAAAGCAAATCACAAACAAACCATGACCAATGAATGACTGAATGCATGAATGAACGTTGACTCCTGCAACCAGGGCGTGGCACCATCCGTCCTTTTATCTCCAAAACCCCACTAACGAGCCCCAGCTGCATCGTTAATCTTGCATCTCGAAAAGACTCACAGAAGACTGCTGCTGAGTCACAACACATATGAATAATTTTGCTGTTATTCCTAAATGCTACAATGCATGGTAATTGAATATGTATAAAAACGCTGCAAAGGATGTACAACTATGCATTTATTTTCTAATTGTTGGGATACAGGCTGTATAAATTATTCAGGTAATCTCTAAATTAGAGATACTAGCATGCAAACCAAGTTAAGAACATGCTTGGGATAAAAGTGGACTTTAATTGTGCTTGTTGCATATTAGTCACAATGTCTTTTTAATTTTTTAATTGCTTTTTATTAATTACACAAAAACAAAACAAAACAGTGAAACAAAAAGAATAGTTATGGTGATCACCTTAGAAGGCTGCATTTATGGCTCAAAGTATGATGGAACCCACAACTTCCAGTTGATCAGAATCAAATGTAAAAAATGCATGTAGTTTCTGCAGTCTACTCAATGTCTATGGATATTCCCAGTCATCCACGTCATGGTTTCCCCAAAGGTACTTCTTTCAAGAGGCAACTGGACTTTCTGGGGAGAGGGGGTGTTTGAAGACGTTTTGTTTCTCGTTCAAGAAGCTTCTTCAGCTCTGGATGGATGGTGAGGAATGGAAGGATTTATACTCTTTGCAGTCAGCTGGTCATTTGCATTCTTTTAGCGGGTTGTTAAGGTAACGTGGAGGTTTAAACCTCTAGGTGATCTTAATGACCAGCTAAAAGAATGAATCTCATATACAGCAGTATGGATTTCATATCCAACTGTCAAATTTAGCTATAATTCCCCCATGAAAAATGAGGATGTAGGTTCTTCTCATCTCACTGAAAATTGTCTCAGGAAAATTCTTTTTTTTTAAAAAAAAGTGTTTTTATTTTTAAACAAACATAGTCACACAAGACACGTAACATAAAAACATCTTCTATTACATACAGTGTGTCGATTGGTTGCAAGGTTTTTGTGCATCCTTTCTGTAGTCATCCCTTAAATTTTATATAAAGTCACATATTGCCAATCAAGTATATTTGTATACATTATTATTATAGTACTTCATTTGTTTGACTATACTATTATTTCTTCATTTTAAATGAGGTATTTTAAATATGGGTCATTTATATTATAATAATTCATTACTTCATTTTCAACATGTCCCATAATAAAGTATTTTATATCCTATTTAAAATCATTCTATTATTTTAGTATTGATAACATTCTCTAATAATTTCCAATTCCATGTTTTTTGTTTTTGTTTTAATCTAACCATTGATAAAATAAATCCCATATCCTATAAAATTGTTTATCTTCTTGTTCTCTAATTTCATGTTAACTTACTCATTTCTGCACATTCCATTGCTGATATCATCAATCTAGTGTTTGTGTGTGTGTGTGTGTTTATGTGTGTATGTGTGTGTGTGTATACATACATACACATACACAAACATACATACATACAATTATTATGATTATTAAACATTGAGTATAGCTATTATTACATCCATTTTATGAGAAGCATACTAAATTTAAAGTAAATTTATACTATAAAATTCTATTACATTATCCTAAAATCATCCAATGATATTACATCTTTATAATCTATTCTAAATAGAATTGTTTATCTTTTGTAAAAAGGTTTTTCAACAACATCTCCATATTCTCACTTACAGTATTGTATAAAATTTCATATTATCAATCTAGTATATATAAATGCATTGTTATCATTGTTAATCATTTATTTGACTATAACTATTATTACTTTGTCTTATACATAATACTCAAAGTTTAACTAAGTTTAACTTAATTTTATTGTGACATTTCATTTCATCATCCTGTATCCTTCCAGTAGTAGTGCAGTCCAATATCTCTTGCCATTTGTAGAATCTGTATTCTAGGTGTTTTCTTGATAAGTCTTATGTGGACTTCTCTTAGCAGCTTGTTGTTCATTGCATATTTTGTAAAGACTCAAAACCCTCTATCTATTCCTTCCATCAGCTTGCCTTTGGTTATCACTGGTGCTTCTGCCAAAATTACTCACATTGTTTCTGACAAATTTTATCCCCTTTCTTCATCTCTGTTTTGAAGCATGAGATAGAGTTCCAGTTCGTCTACCTCTCCTTTCAGTATTCCATACATATCATTTCTCCCCACTCTCAGTTTGCTGTCAATGTCAACAGTTTTCTTATCACTTTGTTCATATTTTTCTGCAATTTTTTGAACTCTATCTTCAAATTTCATCATTGTTTCATCAATATTCTGAACTCTTCTCTCCATTCTTTCTGTTCTTTGTTCTATAATCTCAAGTCTCTTTTCAATTCTTTCTGTGCTTATTAGGACTTTTTGAATTTCGAGCATAATTCTTTGCAATGTAAATTCCTTTTCTTCTTCATTATGGACCATTTTTCCATGTTGCAAACACTGCCACTAAGACATCCAAGACTTTTTGCTAGGTTTCAAATAAATTCAATGTAATCGTTCAAATGAAGGCTTTCTCTTTATTCCAAAAGAGCACCTATATAAACAATACATGTTTTCTTTCTCTCCCTGTCAGTAAACAAAGCCAATACTTGAGATATTAGATGTAACCAAGCCTCTAGTCTCAAGATGGCAGTGTTACTTCTTTTTCTTCTGCTTTTACCTCTCTCTTTAAGCTCCAAGTTTAAGAAGAGAAAGAAAAAAAAGCTTAAAATGCTTAAAAGTTACAATCCAGCTGAGCATTGAGAGGAAAGAGATTTTTAATCCACAAGAACAGATAATGGAGAAAAATAGAAGAAGAAGGGAAAAAAAGACCAGTCCACTTTAAAAGCAAGAGGCATTTGTAAAAATTCCATCCATAAAAAAGAAAT